TTGAAAACGTATCCTTAAATTCAAATTTTACAAATTTAATCACATTAGAACCGCGTACGGAACAAATTTGCAAACTTAAATGTAATTTATCTAATACCGAAGCTATTTTAGAAGCTACGGAAATTGATAAAGTACGTCTACCTAATGCTTTAGTCAAAATCAACTCTAATGGTGAATTTTTAACATCAGTTTTAAACGCTAACGCGATGCCAAAAACTATAAACTTTTCTGACTTGAAACTCGAACCCATTCAAAATTTTTCAATCAATAATTTAAACGAATGTAATTTTAACTTACAACCGGATAGAGTTTCAGAAATTAAAAACCAACTTCGTTTAGAACACTTAAACGAAGAAGAATCGGAACTTATTACTGAACTTTGTTTAGACTACTCAGACATTTTCTATCTAGAAGGCGACAAATTGACCTTTACTTTTGAAATCAAACACACTATCGACACAAAGTCAGAAAAACCCACCTTTGTAAAGTCTTACCGTTATCCTCAAATCCACAAAGACGAAGTCAAAACCCAAATATCAAAAATGTTAGACCAAGGAATCATTCGTTGAATGTCCCTTTTCATCCCCTGTCTGGGTCGTTCCCAAAAAAATGGACGCCTCTGGCAAACAAAAATGGAGAGTAGTTGTTGACTACAGAAAACTCAACGAGTTAACTATGGATGACAAATACCCTTTACCGAACATATCCGACCTCCTTGACCAACTGGGTAAATGCCAGTATTTCTCAACATTAGACCTTGCCTCTGGTTTTCACCAGATTGAAATCGACCCTAAAGATATTCAAAAGACCGCTTTCTCAGTAGAAAATGGCCATTTTGAATTCGTAAGGATGCCCTTCGGATTGAAAAATGCTCCATCAACGTTCCAAAGAGTGATGGATAACATTTTACTGGGAATACAATTTAAACATCAACTTACCCCATATTCAGCCTTACCACTTAATACAGACGATAACGATGACACTGATCCTGACACACAAGACGAAAATGACGATCAAAACATTACCAATACTGAAAAAATGTACCAAGAATTTGATACATTTATAAACTTATATAAAACCCAATCTTTAATCGACTATTCGAAAATCGAATATTCAAATGAACAATTGTTAAACAAAAATAATAAAAACATTTTAGTCTTTTTCCAAAAAGATAATTTACAAGAACTCCACGAAAAAGTATCTGAAGACATCTTCGAAGAACACGCAGATTTCGAAGCTTTCAAAATTAACATTTTTAGTAGTAAAACAGTAAAAAGCAGAAAATATTTAATTATACCCCTTCCATCTGACCCTAACTCAGTTTCAGAAGTTTTATTCGCATCCCTGTACAACTCTCAAAATAATTTAGAAGCCAATAAAATCTACAGCGTAGAAACTAATATTGACCTACCTATATTAGAAATGCTATCCTTTCTTTTTGCAGAAAAATAAATTAAATTTAAAGTCTTTGAAAACGTCACAAAAACACCTGACCCTGATCAAATTCCAATAATTTTAGATCACTGCGTTAAAGCCAACCTTCACCGTGGAATTAACGAAACCATACGCAGAATAAAACAAAAATATAATTGGACCGGACTCACAAAAGACGTAGAAAAATTTATAAAAAATTGTACTACTTTCCAAAAAAGTAAAGCTTATCGAAAAAACCTCGACCGACCTTTTGTCATCACCGAAACACCTAGAACACCCTTTGAACGCATTAACATTGACGTCCTAGAAGTCCCTAGTAGAAATTACGCTCTTACCATCAGAGATGAACTGACAAAATTTAGCCAAGCTTATCCAATTAATGACAAAAGCGCAAAATCCGTTGTTAACACTTTACTCCTATACTTCCAACATTTTGGCACCCCTCTTCGTATTCATTGTGACTATGGTAGAGAATTTGACAACAGCCTCCTAAGAGACTTATGCAATCTTTATGACATCAAACTAACGTATTCTAGCGCAGGACACCCACAATCAAATGGTTCTCTCGAACGATTTCATTCCACCCTATTGGAAATGATAAGAGTTCACTTGGCTGAACACTCAAACGAACACCCTTTTATCATACTGCCCTATGCCGTAATTTGTTACAACAACTCGAATAATAAAACGCATGCATTCACTCCATACGAACTAGTCTTCGGACATACCTCTAGTAGACCTCCAGAGAAACTTTATAATGAAAATCAACTCATTACTAAATATATTAGAGATCTTAATAACCGAATAACACATTATTACAAAATAGCCAAAGCCCGAACCGAAGCCCAAAAACAAAAATCCAAAACCCGTTTTGATCAACATGTTCATGATAATCTTCCAAATTATCAAGTAGGTGACAAAGTTTATATAAAGGAATCCCAAATAAAAAATAAATTAGAAAATAAGTTTAATGGTCCTTTTGAGATCTTAGAGATTCTAAATAATTCCGCTATTCTTTTAAATACCCAAACAAATCAACGCACAAAAGTCAATTTTGACCGAATGAAACCCTATTCTGAAAATTAATTATTTTTAGGTACTTAATGCTGATTGGTACAGCACTCTGCCAATACCGAATAGAACCCATTAACAACACTTTGGGAATATAATATCATGACGAAACACAAATCGTTGTTTCCAAAGCCCAATGGACACTACTTGTACACAGAAACATAACAAACTTACGCGTCGCATTTGACAATAACGACAAAATTTTAAAGACAATTCATAATACCATACGCCCTGACTATCATAATATGAATTCTTTCAGAGCTGAAGTCACTACACACGTTAACTTATTAACACAAATATCCCAGATAATAAAAAGAAAATTTGACGAAATATTTACAGACACAAAGCGCTCTAAAAGAGGCCTTGTTAACGGTTTTGGTACAGTATTCAAAGCAATTACTGGTAATTTAGATGCATCAGATGGCGAATTCTTCACTAACAGTATCAATAAATTAAATAAAGATCAAAGTCAAGTTGAAAATCTATTAAAAAATCAAATAACAGTCACAACATCAATTATGCAAAACAAAACAACACAATACAAAAACTTTCGTTTCGTTTAGGAGATAAGATCGCGCTAGTAGAAGCCAAATTAAAATTTTTCGAAATTTGTGAAAAACTAATGGAAAGTTACTTGTTTTTGGAGGACAATCTTAATGACATAATAAATGACATTACCTTTGCCCGCCTAAAGATAATTCATTCTTCAATTATAACCCCCAACAACTTAATATTATAATTACAAAAAATATCTCAAAATCTTGAGAAAAATAATTTACCTTTAGCCATTAAACATTCACAAATAGCTCAGTATTTGGAAATCATAGAACTCCAAGCGTATCAAACAAATCATGATCTTGTTTTTGTTTTAAAAATCCCTTTAATTGAACAACAAATCTACACCCTCTACCATTTATTTCCTATTCCTATACCTGATGAAAGAACTGGTCTTTATCACGTTTTGTCAATAAGTCAAAAATATATCGCGCGAAACGATGATTCTTTAATGTACATCCCCGTCAAGAATCCAGAAGAATGCAAGCAGCTATCACCAGGAAGAAAACTGTGCTCCAACCTGTACGCATACCCAATAGACAATAACGCCGCGTGTGAAGTGCAATTGTTAAAAACCAACATGAACGTTCTGAATAACTGTCATAGTGCCTTAATTTACGGACAAGGTTATAATGTGCAAAACTTAAAGGACAATACATGGTTAATTAGTGCGACCGAACCTGTTCAAGTGTCTATAAACTGCCAAAACTTAAACTCTGAAACATTGGTAATACATAAAAACTCTTTGTTAAAACTTAAACCAGTGTGCCAAGCCTCCATCGGCATTACAAAAAGACAAGCAGAAGCTAGCAAGACATCCAACGTAATCGAAAACCCTCAACCCGTTCTCGTTCCATACAACTGTTGTACTCATGTTCCAGACAATATAGAACTCCCTAAATTAGAACCTTTAAAAATCAATAACTTAAATATGGAGGAATTGGAAATTGCCAACCACAAACTTCAACAATATTCGAGAGATTTGGATAATCTTATTAATCAACCTTTCGTCGAGAAAAACATATCATGGTTCACTTATTTGACTATAGCTCTAATAGTCATTAGCATTGTTGCATACGTAACAATAAAATTGTTTACAAAATTTAAACCAAGAAAAACGATATCCGAAACGATATCAAACACCATCAAAAGACGACCAGACATCGAATCCAACGATAACTTCTGTGAAATCCAACTTAGCGAAAAAGTTGCTGCATAGCATCAACTTTTTAAAAATGAGGGGAGCTGTTATATGTGATAAAATGATGACACCATATACTTCACGAGAGTCATATTTCGTTATCTAATCGGAGAAGATAACAAGGTATGGAATTCTCTGGGAAATGCAACTATTCATTTATTCAACGATGAGAACCCTGAGACAACACGTACAACATATTTTAAAAACTTATAAATAGGAATGTCTTTGCTCTGTTAGTTTAGTATAATACTCAGTTTTGTAACATTAAGTACTTAATAATTTTATATTGTAATTTTTGTGTTTAAATAAATTTGTGCTTTTTTTAAAAAGTAAATTTTAATAAGAAGATAAAATCCCTATCATAACAAAATTTTTGTTAGTATACTGTTTAAATTAGCATTTTATAAAGTAAAATGTATGTTTTTAAAAAACGTTGATTATTTGCATAACATAATTATGAAAAGTTAACTTTATGCATATTTACAATAATGGTATGTAGGTAAACAGAATAATGCAATAATAATCTAACGTTAAATAATACAAAATAATGTTAATTTTGAGCAAATATCAATTTACACAATTATGATATCCCTACAAATGGCTAAATATTCAGATATAGCAAAAGTTTTATGATTGGCAAAAATTAAGTTTGATACTTTGCTGTCTAGATTTTCGGACTTAAATTTAATGCAAATATTAGTTAAAAAAAAGTTCAAGGTAAAATAATCATGGTACTTACCTATTGGTTCAATTCCTGAAATATGATCTACAAAATCTCTTTTTCCTAAATACATAGTAATTTTGCCATTTGGTGATTGTTTTTTGTATACCCTGAAGTTAAACACCATCTTGATTTTCAAATGTATTTTACAAATAGTAACAAACTAAATATGTTTGCTTTTATATTTCCTTTATATGGATTCCTAATTGTATTTAAAAGAATCAAGACGCCCACATTAGGATTAATCTATAATCAAATTAGTGTTTTCACAAAACAAATTTAATTTAATTAGGTACAATAATTGTTATACTCGTAATTTGTATATCCCCTAAAACACAGCTGAAACAAATTTTGATAAAAGTTTGTATAAAGCGTTTGCAAAAAAAGTAGTGCTTAATTGTATTAAGTTAATTTGACAAAACAAAAAACACTTTTTCTTAAACGCAGTATTTTTAAAAAGAAAACAATCATGGTACCGGAAACGAACGAGCTTTGGGTTGGGGGATAGGTATCTTAACCACTAAACATTTTTCAATTGTATTTAAGAAAGCGTCAAATCTATTCCAGAAAGCGACAAACGTATTTCAAAATACTCAAATATTTGAAATACTTAGGTATGTATTTTAGAAAGCGTTAAGTTATTTAAGAATAGTCAAATGTATTTCCGAATGCCGTCGTTTGACCTTTCGTGCTAAGGCACTGTCTAGGTTTGTTTCATGAATTAATAAGGGCTTACTTAAAAAGCATAAAACCAAATTTGCATCACTTTTTTTTACAAAAATATACGCAAAAATACATTTTTTCAGTTTTTATTGAGTAACTTGGCCCCTTGTGTACTGCACAATAAAAATATAAAATCATTTTATTTTTTTTTATTTTAGTGTTTTTTGTTTATACTAATACTTAAAAAAATATTGTTTGTTAAATTAAAAATGTTACTACAAAACATTTAAAACCGTTTTTTGCATTGATTCGTACACCATCACGAAATGATGTCGACCAGTGATGATGGGACCGTTTATCGGCGGCAAAAATACATTTTTAAAAACTTTTTATTTTTGGAATTTTTATGACGACATTATGTTAAAAACATCTCAAACCAATAGATTTCGGCAAAAAAATTTTTAGGAATAATTCTGTTTTGATTTTATGACACCTTAAAGTGGAATGTTTTAAAACTGTAAAATTTGCCAAAAATTACGCACACATTTAATAAACCATATTTTTTAATCGGACAAAAAAATGTATATTTATTTTTATATATGTTTAAAGCATACCTTATTCTATATAAAAATTCCCATTTTATTAGAAAATTATTTAAAAATTAAAAGTTATAACCTTTTAAAAAATCATTGATAAAATTAAGAAAAAAAAATTCATATAGGCATTTAACTAGGATCACCGGGTGATCTCTACGTGAGGTTGCTCATTAAACTTTACTTTATATGAACACAAAAAATTAGCTGCATATACTTGCATATGGAAAAGTTATGATTTTTTATTTATCGCGCTGCATGGTTAAATCGCGGTAGATCGTAACTAAGGCATTGTCTACGCACTCAAGATTTTCGAACCTTTAGATCTATGCTCATAGGTTTTATTTAAATTTATTTAATATTATAAATATTTAAACATGTATTACATTTTGTATTTTGTTTATAATATTATCAAAAAATATATACAAAGTACCTACCTAGGTTTATTAATTAATTACCAACTCAAAACAAATTATTCGGTAAAAAATTATTCGCTTTCATAGGTATAAATATTATTACCTTTAAAATGCTATAGGATTTGTAAGGTAATAATATTTAACATATATATTGAAAGCAAGTTGGACTATTACATTTTTAACAGAACTATTTTTAAATAGTGACAAAGACGTCAGTCTATTTTCTGAAAATTTAAAGAGAAGATTTCCTAATTTAAAAATCAATTCAAACTCGTTATGGAAAAAATTAAACCGAACTTTTTATACTATAAGTTTAAGATCAAGTGGTTATCACATCGGTGTTAAAATAACTTTAAAATTAAAAATGAAGAATGGTTAAAAAACGAAATAATAATTGAATTTAATGAAGATTTATCACAACCAGGTCCATCAGGTTTAGGAAGACCAAAGAAGCATTTTTTGGATTGTGCTGAACGTTCTAAAAGGCATAAGAGAATCCGTTGAATCAGACCTTTTATCCGCAGCTGCGAAATTCCCCGAAAGTTTTGAGAAGAAAATGTATATGCCAACGGAACAGGCTTTGGCGTTGATAACGGATGACCAATTGTCAAAGCATCAATATGAAGCATTTAGAAATGCCTTTAAGGATTTTGGACATTATATTTTACCACCTTATTATAAGGTTCTTATACAAAAAAGAGTGCTACCCAGATAAAATGGTAATTACTAAAAAAAGTGCCCGTGTAGATTTGCAAAGTCTTGTAGATCATACCAGAAGGCGAATTTTGGAAGCTATTGATATTGATGTAGAAGATAATACAGAGTTACTTTTAGTTAGTAAGTGGGAATGTGATGGTGCTTCTGGGCAATCTGAATACAATCAAAAATATGTACAAGGTGATAATCAGGAAACATCAGATAGTAGCATCTACATGGTGCCTTTACTACTTAGAACCAGAGCTGGGCACGAGTAAAATTTTAAGTACGAGTACTTAAAATATTTACTCGTAAGTACATTTGTAAAGAGAGGTTACGATTACGAGTAATGAAAACACGAGTAAAGAGTACGAGTACTTTTGAAAAAAAAATATTGGTTAATATAATTGATTATCTTTATACATTATACATACTTTGGTCCTAAAACAAAATACATATAAAAATTTATAAAATTATTTATTTTAAACATTAGGTACATAAAATAAAAATAATAATTCCTAAATAGTTTATAATTTTACCTATATACTTGTTATAAAACCTATAGGCTATAATATATTATGATAAATATATTATATACCGTAAACACGGGTGGCTTTAGCTCACTTTCAAACTTAAGCTTAAAATTTTTGTGGTTTTAACAATCATAAACATTAAATATTGTATACCAAAATTTGAGTCTTGAGTTGCTCTTTTATAATAACAATGTTGTTATATTATGTAGGGCTGAGTTTCAAAAATAAAAACTGGGTGTGCAAAGTTACCCCCTTCGGGTAACTTTGTCTCACAGTGTATTTTCCATATAAAATTTACTTAATATTTTATTTTATTAGACACATGTTAGAAGCGAGAGCGATTGCACGGGATTACCGATAAAAAAAAATTAAAAAAATCGTAAAAAACCTGTAGTTAACCAAGGATCATCATTCCAAAGGATTGCGCCTAATATAGAAATTGTAACGCGTGTAACGAGTTCTGCACTGATGCAATATAAACAATTTTAATAAATCTCATGTATTTCTTTAAAACACTGATTTTCCTGTAATATAAACTCAATAGAATCGCTCAATTGACAGGTTTAGACCAACAAATTATTAATGTTAATTTTATTGAGCGCGAAAAGATTTCTTAAAAAGGTTAAAGTCTCCCGCGGGGTGCAAAGCCATCCGTGTTTACGGTAATTTAAAACAGACTTCCAAACAAAATGTTTTAATGCTTACAATATTTTTGCAAAAAGTCATCGATATAATAAACGGAAATACTCGTATATATTACTCGTGAATTCCACGAGTATTTTTTACGAGTACATTGAATTTGGCATGTAAGTACGTGTAATAAGTATTTCAAATGAAAAATACTTATGAGTAAAAAAATAGGTACTCGTACTTTTTTACTTGTAATTGAAATACGAGTAGAAGTACTCAGTACTTGGCCAGCTCTGCTTTGACTCAACAATTTGGAAGAATGATTTGCCTTCATCTACGAGATGGTGCCGCCCTATCTATTTTGAATTTGTAAAAGAGTACCCTGAAAAAGTTTTGGATGTTTACAACAAAATACCTAACGAAATTTCCCAGCTAAAAAAAACAGAAGTAACAATATCCGGAAAAAGTTGCTCTGTTAAACACGACATGAAATTTAAGAGATCTGCAGGAAATTAAGGAATCTGAAAAAAAAAGAATTGAACAGGAATTTGATCAAAAATGAGTTTAATAATAGACGTTGTTAAAACCGGCTCAGGTAATTTCAACTCTAGAAACACATCAAGAAGATTTTTTCAAAATCCAACCTTAGTTACAGAGATAACCAAGGTTGATTTTAACTTAATAGATAGGTTTCAAACCATTCTTCAAGCTATCACTACACAAAGCTTGATAGATGCAAATAAGTTGGGACTGTTTGCTCAGCAAACAGCAAAGTTGTTTGCGGAACTGTATCCATGGTACTACATGCCCGTAACAGTTCATAAAATATTAGTACATGGAAAGGAGGTGAATATATCTTTACAAATCGGGGTCCTTTCAGAGGAGGCACAAGAATCCCGAAATAAAGATTTCAAAAAATTTAGGTACATGTTTTAAAGAAAAACAAACGGGACAGCAACAAATGAAGATATTTTACACCGACTTTTTGCAAGGAACATTTGCAAGGAAAAATAAAATACGAACTTCGAGATGAAGTTAAGGAATTGTTAATATCATTTATTTAGTTCTCTTTTGTATTTTTTAATTATTAAATCAACCAGAAGTATTTTTTTTACAATATAACATATATCTATATTATGGTAATAAAAAATAAAATTATTTCCGCCAAAAAGTTAAAAAACCCATGTTAAAAATTAAAAGTTTATATTTTTTTGATTTGTTATTAAATAAATCATACCTAGCACATGTAAATAAAATAAAATAAATATTGTGTCCTTATAAAAAGTTATAAAATTATTTCCGCAAAACGGTGTGTTTTTACAATATAAAAATGCGATAAAAATAAAAGACTTAAGTTTTTGATGTAAAAACATGCTTACTTATACATATTTTATCCTATTTAAGACATTATAAAAGAAAAAGAATAATATTTATTTGTAATAAAAAAGTTATTGAATTTTTGCCGCAAGGCGGCATTTTTTGACCATGGTGGGGAAAGAGTAAAGCTAAAAACTTGTTACGACCTTAGGAGGGACGCGTGTCTCTACTAAGGTTGTAACAAGTTTTTAGCTTTACTCTTTCCCCAGCTATGTCTGAATCTGATAAAATGTTT